TAAAGTTGTGGATGAAGAAAAAAAATATCATTCTGATCTCTTACTAATTACTGATGGTAATAAAAGCCACTACACTTACATTTCTAACCTTTCGAGACTTGTGAGATCACAAAAAACATCACACACCGAAAATGTTGTATTTTGCAAACGATGTTTTACCAGTTTTGACAATATACATACAAAATATAAGTTAAAAGGTCAGGCGGGGCTTGAACAACATAAGTTGATATGTGGAGCACATAAGCCAATTCTACCTAAGATGCCTGAGCCCGGTACATTATTACAGTTCGATGGGTGGAGTAACGCTCAAAGACATCCGTTCGCTATATATGCTGATTTCGAGGCACTCCTTGTTAAATGTGACGAAATAAAAGGCAAGAAAACAGCAACTTTTCAAAAGCACGATCCAATGAGCTATGGAATTTTCGTAAAGGCTTCAGAAAACGTCCCCATTGATTTGCTTGAGAAATATGAGATACCAACATCAACTATTATTCATCGCGGAAGCGAGTCACATCAGGATGTAGCCAAACGTTTCGTTAATGAAGTGACAGAGATCGCGAGAAGAGTTCAAGATTTACTCAAAACAAATAAACCCATCATAATGACAGAAGAAGAGCAAATAGCACATGTATCGAAAAGTACATGCAATCTGTGTGAATGTAATTTTTCTATCAAAAACCAAAAGGTGGCAGATCACTGCCATCTATCAGGAAAATTTATACAAACTTTATGTAATACTTGCAACCTGAAACTCCAAAAACCTAACTTTGTACCGTGCTTTCTACACAATATGTCTAATTACGATGCACATTTTATCGTGACCTAACTCGGAAATGACACTAAATCAATCTCAGTGATTCCGAACAGCGAAGAAAAATACATTTCATTTTCAAAACACGTTACCAACAACTTTTCAATTCGATTCATAGACTCTAGTCGATTCATGGCATCAAAGTTATCAACACTCGCAGAAAATGTATTAACACCAGGGTTCGAGAAGTTTAAAGAAACCTCAAAAGCATCATTCGTACCCAGAGATATGAATCTCGTCACACGTAAGGGTGTATACCCTTACGAATTTACAGATAGTTGGGAAAAGTTAGAAGAAACAATTTTGCCTCGAAAAGAAGATTTTTACAGTTCACTGCACGAATCACATATAGACGATGAGGAATACGAACACGCAGTCACAGTATGGAACCATTTCAAATGCAAAACCCTAGGAGAATATAGTGATTTATATATCTAAAAATTGACGTGCCGCTGTTTGGCTGACGTGTTCGAAAATTTCAGAGACATGTGCATTTCTACGTACAATTTAGACCCTGTTTACTACTTTACAGCTCCAGGTTTTAGTTTTGACTGTATGTTGAAATATACCAAAGTCAAACTAGAATTACTCTCTGATTTTGACACCCACTTATTTTTCGAAAATTCAATCCGCGGTGGCCTCACGCAAGCAAGTATGAGGTACTCTAAAGCTAATAATGAAAAAATCCAAGATTATGACCCAACAAAATCCAAGTCATGGATAGTTTACCAAGATTGTAACAGTTTATACGGGTGGGCAATGTCACAGCACATGCCATACGGTGACTTTAAATGGGTGGAGCCTAAGTTAGACGGATTAGATGCTTTAACGCCGACGTCAGATATAGGCAGAGTGTATGAGGTAGACATATCATACCCTAATGAACTGCATGACTTACATAACGATCTTCCATTTTTACCTGAAAAAAAAATTCCTCCTGGTTCAAAAGTGAAAAAACTTATGGCGACACTTCATTCAAAAAAAAATTACGTAATCCATTATCGAAACCTACAGCAAGCCATAGCAAATGGATTAATTGTAGAAAAAGTACACAGAGTTTTAGAGTTCAAACAATCGGATTGGCTTGCAAAATACATTAAATTAAACACCGAAATGAGAAAATACGCGAAGAATGAATTCGAAAAGGATTTCTTCAAACTCTTAAACAATGCCGTTTTTGGGAAAACCATGGAATCTTTAAGAAAACGTTTTAAGATGGAGCTAGTTTCATGTCCACAAAGATTACAAAAACTCATCGACAAGCAGACATTTAAACATTGTACGACATACAGTGAAAATCTTGCTGCTGTCTCATTGGAAAACAAAATTATCATGTTTAACAAGCCAATATATATAGGTAACAATTTTACTTGCATAAAAAAAAAAATTTCATATTTTAATACCTATTTATCATTTTTATTTATTTTTTTTTAGGTTTCGCGGTATTGGACATCAGTAAAACCATGATGTACGATTACCATTTCAATGTAATGAAGGCGCATTATGGTAATAAAATCAACCTCATGTATACAGATACAGGTAAATAATTATTATTCAATTTTTCTATTACAAACATTGTATTTATTTTATTTTTTTCTAGATTCACTGATATATCATATTAAGACTGACGATTTTTACAAAGATTTGAAGTGCAATTCAAACTTACTTGGCCGGATGGATACTTCAGATTTACCGATAGACCATCCATGCTACATTGCCGAACGAAAGAAAATTCCAGGATTGTTTTCCGATGAGGCAAAGGGACAGCCAATTACCAAATTTATTGCGCTTAGAGCAAAGTCATACGCTTACATTTTGAACGACAAGGAGAAAATTAAGGCAAAAGGCGTCCGAGGGCATGTAGTTAAAAATCACATGACTTTCAATGATCATTTCGATTGCCTTTTCGCCGACGACGAAAAAGAGAACTCTAAACTGTATACCTGGGAAAATGTATCCTTCAGATCATTCAACCATAAGATACGAACAATCAAATCCGAAAAATTATGCTTCAACCGACAAGATGATAAGCGGATAGCACAGGCCGATAGAATACATACCTACGCTCATTCACATTTTAAGCTCGATTGTCAATTTTATACATAAATATAATATATTTGTAAATTATATTTAATTTTATGAATGTTAAGGTTAATTTATTTTTATTTTGTAAAATATATAGATATATAAATTAGTTTATTATTTTTTTTTGTAAAATAGCTTTGTAGATATTATTTTGTTTTGTTTTGTTTTTTTTTTATTTTGTAAAATATCTCTATAGATATTAAATTGTTTTTGTTGTTTTTGTTGTTTATTAAACAATTTAATATCTATACGACCGGGTGATTTGATGTCTATGATATTGTGGTACAAGTGGGGTTGCCCCGCACTGTATCAACATGCGTTCGTTCTGGACTCCGTCGCAGGAAGGTTAGGTACACAAGTTTAGGTATTTGAAATGAATGAACATACAATGTCGTTGATTGACGCGGTTGCGTCGAAAGTCGTTTATTGTTAGACACCAAAATATAAATATGTGGTCGTACGCAGTACGACGATAGAGGGTACGTTTTGGGGTCGAGCGCATGGTCGTTCAGGTCGGCGGTATCGGATGTGTGCTCAATGCGTGCGCGGTCGAGCGAGCGTCGGTACGTAGGCGAGTCGGGCATGAGTTCGGAGGCCGTGGCGAGCGGTCGTGTACGGGGACCCTAAGGGTCGTGTAAGTGTAACACGGCTCGTCGGTTGTCGAATCATGGCGTCGGGTCGGGAGCGAAATACTCGGTACGTGTGGCTCGGTCGAGGGCGGTGAGCAAAGAGAACGATGCCGGCCGGTCGGACGGCCGCGTCGTGAGCGTCGGGGACGACAGAGATGGCGTCGCCAATCGGAGACGCGAGATCGATTAGCGTGGGAACATAAATATATAAAAATCACAGAAGTTGTATAAATAAAACGAATATAAAATAAGTCACAAATGTCAATATAAATATGGTTGGTACCGCGGAGCGGGTGGTAACTCGGTCGGAGAGAGCAAAGTGGTGATAAGCGCCGAAGTCACCACATTACTCCCCCTCGGACAAGAAAAAACGAACCAGTTTTTTGAGGCGTTGGTCGAATGAGGTGCGAAGTGACAGCCGAAGATGAATGTTGAATGGGAAGGCGAAAATGAGTGTTGAATGGGCAGGCGAAATGTCGGTGGCCGTCGTGCGTCGATCTGCGGCGGCGGTCGGAGTCGAAAGTTCGCCGTACGAATGTCTACCGGGCTGGTGAATGTTGACGGGAAGGTGACTGACGTTGCCTGTTGATCGGAAGTTGACCGTCATCGGAACATTGCCTGTTGATCGGAAGTCGACTGTCGTTGTGACGTTGCCTGTTGATCGGAAGTTGACCGTCGTTGGAAGCATGGTTGTGGAGATGTCGCCCATGTGGTACCGATGTCGTAGTCGTGTGTGCCGGCGTGCGCGTAAACTTGCGTACCGTTTTTGAATTGAGGTCACCAATGTGGTACAAGTGTTGTCGTCGTGTGTGTCGGCGTGCGCGTAAACTTGCGTACCGTTTTTGAATTGAGGTCACCAATGTGGTACAAGTGGGGTTGCCCCGCACTGTATCAACATGCGTTCGTTCTGGACTCCGTCGCAGGAAGGTTAGGTACACAAGTTTAGGTATTTGAAATGAATGAACATACAATGTCGTTGATTGACGCGGTTGCGTCGAAAGTCGTTTATTGTTAGACACCAAAATATAAATATGTGGTCGTACGCAGTACGACGATAGAGGGTACGTTTTGGGGTCGAGCGCATGGTCGTTCAGGTCGGCGGTATCGGATGTGTGCTCAATGCGTGCGCGGTCGAGCGAGCGTCGGTACGTAGGCGAGTCGGGCATGAGTTCGGAGGCCGTGGCGAGCGGTCGTGTACGGGGACCCTAAGGGTCGTGTAAGTGTAACACGGCTCGTCGGTTGTCGAATCATGGCGTCGGGTCGGGAGCGAAATACTCGGTACGTGTGGCTCGGTCGAGGGCGGTGAGCAAAGAGAACGATGCCGGCCGGTCGGACGGCCGCGTCGTGAGCGTCGGGGACGACAGAGATGGCGTCGCCAATCGGAGACGCGAGATCGATTAGCGTGGGAACATAAATATATAAAAATCACAGAAGTTGTATAAATAAAACGAATATAAAATAAGTCACAAATGTCAATATAAATATGGTTGGTACCGCGGAGCGGGTGGTAACTCGGTCGGAGAGAGCAAAGTGGTGATAAGCGCCGAAGTCACCACAATATCGTCGATTTTCTTGGCCAGCGTAATCTTTTTTCGTGACAGTGTTGACGGCAACTTGTAAACGTTGGACCCAGGGTTGTCGGCTCTCTTTAACAAACGTATATATGCACACAATAAGAAATCAACTTTATACATAAGTAGTAAATTATATATAATATACAGGCAAATAATATTATACTAATACACGATAAATCTTATAAATTAAAATATGAAATATGAATCAATTGTGTATTTTATAATATATGAGCATATTGGGCATATGAAAAGTTTAAACATTTTCCCTGTCACAATCGAAAAATTTATGTATTTATGAATTTCTTTTCATTTAGAAATCTGATTAATCTTCGTTTTGAAATTAAAAAAGTATACTTTCATGCTAAATATTTGGGGATTTGTGATACACAAATCAGCGTTGACTCCACTCTAAAAAATGAATCATGATATAAACTTATCATTAAAATAGAAGATATTTTTACAAAGTTAGTTAGATTGTGAGTTTCACACTATAGTTGACGTATAGTAGGTATATACCTAAAAACTATTTATTATCGAACTGGGTGTTCAAGACCTGCTATAACTCAAAAAGTACTGTTTTCAGGGGACCGATTTTAAAATTTGTTATAATAAAAAACCATAATATTTTATGTCATGGCAATATGACAACTCTTTAATGATCAATATTTGACCAATTTTTATTTCGTTCTTGAATTGAAATTGTTTTGAAAAAAGGAAATCAATAATGTTTGTACCTAGTTAACCAGATGTGTCCAGATGGCACACCTAGTAATTTAAAATTAAAATAATTATAATAATAGTATAATTTTGTCGTTACGGGATCCGGGTGGATTATCCGAAACAGCATCTTAGGTACCGGACCCTTGACCGGGACTCTAGGCTTGTACGCCGCTGGTCCCGGGTTGTCCATATCGCCGTCGAAAGGCAGTTTCTTGGCAATGCTGTACCGTGGCGCCACGGCTCGACCACGGTACGTCAGCTGCGCCAGATTGTACACTGCCGGCCCTGGCCCCTCGGTCTCGTTGCCTAAGTCCAGTCGCTGATGCACCGAGCACGCTGGTGCACCGGTTACGGTTGGCAATCGGTTCAGGCGACCCACCGTCGTCCGGGCCCCGTATGCTGCAGGTCCTGGGCCCTCATTCTCCGTCCCGAATTCGAACACCTTGCGGTCCATGTATTCCGGACACTTTTTCATGATAACGTCGGTTTTAAAATAATTAAGCGAAGAAGCGAAGCTAATAAATTATTATAATATGTGTGTATAACATATACTATATATTTATATATATATATAGTATATTATACCCATATCGGCTGGTCAAAACGCTTGCCCCCTCTATTGAAAAATGATATAACGCCAGTAGTAGTAATTTGGGGCTTCTGAGTCACTTTTTACAGGGAAAAAAAAAAAGTTCAAGGGGGAAAGTCCCCCTTGCAGCACATTCGATCACCGTATAGGTAAAAATTCTAAAAAGGTGGGTTGGGGCTTCTGAGTCACTTTTTACAGGGAGATGAAAAAAGTTCAAGGAGGAAAGTCCCCCTTGCAGCACATTCGATCACCGTATAGGTAAAAATCTAAAAAGGTGGGTTGGGGCTTCTGAGTCACTTTTTACAGGGAGATGAAAAAAGTTCAAGGAGGAAAGTTCCCCTTGCAGCACATTCGATCACCGTATAGGTAAAAATTCTAAAAAGTATGGTTGACGGTACTGAGTTAATTTTTACGGGGAGATGAAAAAATTTCAAGGAGGAATACAGCCTTACAGTATAACCAATCTATCTAAAATTTACTAGAGAAAATGCAAATTTTAATTTGTCAAACAAGATTTTATTTAAAACATTTAGTCAGTTACTATCGAGCCGTCATACAATCAAGTTGTGTTATTTTTGTTTTCAGTGCATTATCTTATTGAATCGATTTTTTTCAACCAATTATTTTAAGTTTTATTAAAAACCATGAATTTACAGAAGTTTTCTAACGATTTTCCTTCATTGGTTTATTTAGTTAGAAATAATTCGTATCCAGTGTATTCAGATTTTACTACATTTTTATCGAGATTAAAAACGTATAATTCATTTCCACCTTCTTTATGTCAAAATAAATATTCGTTATCTGAGGCTGGATTTAAGTATTCAGGAACTGCTGACATAGTCGAATGTTTTTGTTGCGGACTGGTCTTACAAAAATGGACTAAAGATGACATTCCGTTTGTTGAACACGCAAAATGGAATCCTAAATGTATATTTGTTTTACTTTGTAAGGGTAATGAATTTATAGAAAATGTAAAAAACGAATATGTAAAATCTGCACATGTTTGTGATTGTAATCAGTCTAAATCATAATATGTTATCATTTACTAGTTTACTTGTTTAAATTAATTATATTTGTAATCATTTATAAATAAATATTGTATTAATCAACTTAAATGCGTTAATAATTGATTTTATATCTCGTTGACTATTGTAACCGAGTCGGATAACGCGTCAAGTTGTAATTAAATATAGTAGATTTAAAATTCAAGTTACAGGTTCAACGGTTCAGGTAAGTATCCTCTCTCTACGCGTTATCTGATTTGGTTTCATGATCACTTTAGTTTTTTATATCAATATCAACCAAATAAGTTTAGTATATAATAATACAGTATTCAAGTAATATACTCAGTTTTCAAATATGTGTGTTGTAACGATCATCCGTTATTCTATTTCACGTTTTTTGAAGTTCAAACATTTTTTACATTTTACGTTTTTTTTTTAAAAAAAATTCATAAAAAATCGACTATATCAAAAAGAACACGTCGCAGTACAATATGATTTCAATTGCTGTTTTAAATTCAGTAATTGATATACGACCTCTTAGCAAGAAAAGTCTAACTGTTGGATTTTTGGTTGATAAAAATATGTTTACTGTTATTATGTTACTCCAATGTAATTTCGCAAAAAAAATGCTAATGACCGATTTAATACAGTGGTATACACTAATTTCAGATTCAATGTATAGCTCAATAACTAATAATCTACATACTAATAATAGTAAACGTATAAAAATAACAGATAGCATATATTATTCAGTTAATTTAAATCAGTTTACTATCAAATTGTATGTTAATAACCAATTTATCACGTTATCATATAATGATCTCCACCGGATAAAAAAATTACAAGAATGTATTGATTCGTATTATTGTTGAAAAGCAGAAAAAGTTGGTTTCATATCAATCAATTTTTGATTCAGTGTATTCATTAATTAAAACAGACATTAATATTCTACCATTATTTTGTCAGCGAAATGATTTTACAAACCAGTATATACAACATTTTTGATTTTAGCAATTGTTTTGTACAGAACGATGATTTCAGTTTTATGTATGAAATACTTCAATTCCACAATAATTCTATTTCAGATATAATATTAAATGATATTAAAATATAATGTTGCGATCAGACAGCAGTAGTATTATATATCAATTTGTTTTTTTACTCTTTAAACTGTATACCATTAATAATAAATAAAAATTATCAATATTATTGTAAAATAGAAACAAGATTAATTATTTTATTATAATGTCACTACTTTTATTAAACAATTTGTAATATTAATAAAACAGATTATACATTTAAATTGTGATTATTTTATTTTTTAGTATTTTTGATAAGTTTTTTCTTAGGATCTGCTGAAACCGGTCCAATATTTCTCGAACAACGTCATTGATTTTGTTTGAAATTATTGAATCTTTTGTATTTCTACTTGATGTATGAATTTTAATACTAGCTTCTGCATGTTTCCATCTAGTATGAAAATTCATTATTTAATATTTTTTATTTTAAACATGTTATAGGTCATAATTTTTTTTACTAACCTTTCATCTGATGGAATATCTTGGATTGTATTAATTTTATAGTGCTGAATGACATAGTAATCTTCACAGTGATCTACAACTGGACATTTAAATGTGTAGGAACTATTCCCTTCCTTCATTGTTAATGTATTTAATATATCATTTTCAATTTTTCCTTTCGATATCAAATCCATAAAAATATCCTTGTATGATTCCGATTGCTGATATATAAAAATATATAAAATAAAGTAACATTTCAATTGGTATTAAAAATGGTGTGTGTGTGTGTGTGTGTGTGTGGAATATTTTAGAAATAATATTAATTATTACCTTTCCGATCTTGGTCTTTTTACTACTAGTACTAACTTTTGACTCAACAACATTTTTCCTTTTGCTAATTTTTGGCTTGACAGGTACTGAATATGAACTTTCCTGATATTATTTAATAAAATATCAATAATATAAATATAAAATTCTGTTTTGTATCTATTATATATATATATACACCATACTTGTTAAATATTTAAATATTAGTGTTTAAATACTTTTTCTGTATTTTAAGTACATTTTAAATACTTTTAGACAGAAGTATTTCAAGTATATTTCAAATACTTATTATTATATTTATTATTTTGTATTTAAAAATATTAAATACAAAATTTTCAAACAAGATATTTACTATTTAGTTAGGATAACTGTTTATGTTATAAATCACATAAATTAAACATAACTACATTCACAATTTGTTATAAATAAAGGAATTCTGTACAAGCCTACAATTATCTTCTATATTCAATACACTTTATTAAATTAAACAAATAATTAGTTTTAAGAATTAAGAATCAGAAAATAATAAAGCTTAAAAAAATGTATTTAAAAATATTTAAAATACTTGTTGAATATATTTGTATTTGTATTTAAATATTTATTAGCAAAGGTATTTAAATAAATATTTTAATAGGTACTTTTTAATTGAAGTATTTAAATACATATTTGAAATACTTTTGAAAAGTATTTTTAACAACATTGGTACACACACACAAAACACAATCAAATGGAATACTTACATCTTCGTTTGACGAGCTTTCTCCAGTAACATTGGTATATGAAGACATGTTTTTTTTACCTTAAATAAAAATTTGTAAGTTTAAATTTTAAATTTACTAGTTTTTAAAACTTATACCAGATCAAAGTATATTACTTGCTATGTAGTCTTGTAACGGTGACACATTAAGTCCAATAGTTAATTTTGAGATTTAACACTGTCTATAATCAATGTATGTCGACTGTTTATATACAATCTAATACGACTGTGTGAGTGTGTAAAGTGATCATTGGTTTATGTATTATTATCAGATAATTAGGTATAAATAAAATAAATGCAGTGTACTCATTTTGTTATAGGCTTTCTACATTTAATTGAACATAAAGGTCGTTTGATCTGATTACCTATGATAATTTATAATTTTAAATCCTTTTACATTATAATAAAAAAAAAAAAATGTCAGTTTGCAGTTTATAATCAGTCTAATATTATGATGCGGTATAATATCGCATGATTATTTTATTTTCAGGTAAACTGATAATTAGATATAAATAAAATAAATGCATTGCAGTAATTTTGTTTTTAGACTCGCTACAATAATTGTGTTGCACTTTGTAATCATTTAATCAGATTACCCACCTACTTTATTCGATAATTAGTAATGATTTTTTATAATTGTAAACTTTTTATATACATATTAATTCCAATTCTATATAAAAAAATATTAATAGGTACCTATGTATAATAACTGTGTCATCAGACCATCTAATATTAGTAATTTATTAATTAGTGCTGACGTGGTTCAATGATGTTCTGATACAAAATTTTGATTTTAACAATTGTTTTGTACAGAACGATGATTTCAGTTTTATGTATGAAAATAATTCATCGTTGAAACAACAAGACGTATCTCAAAATTTAACAAATTGAGATTATTGTTAATAATGGTAAACAAACACTATATGGAAATATTTTATTTAAGACATTTTTCACTTGGACAACTGTTTTCACTATAATTAACGAAAATGATAACAATGCGTATATCAAACGTAGGTAATAAGTAATAACATAACGTATCTCATTATTTACCATAGTAATAATGACCACATTTTAAATTTCTTGAAACAGGTAAGTTTTTTTAAAGTTAATACATTTTACTGTATAATGATTTTAATTACAAGTCGTGTTAGTCAATGTGTTTACAATACTGAATACATAAATCGAACATTAGCTTTAAAATGTTTTGATTTAAATTGATCGTATTTTCGCTATTGAGATAGACAGTGTTGATAAACCATTTTGATGAGATAGGTATTG